ATTGTGATTCACTGTGTAATATAAATTTAAATTATCAAATTAAAAATATAAATTTAATATTAATATGATGTTAAAAATTTTTTAGGAATCCGGTTTGATTCGAATCAATTCGAATCGAATCCTGTTTTTTTGAATTCGAATCGAATCGAATCGACTACAGAACGAATCGAATCAAATCACCCTCAAATTCGATTCAATTTGATTCATTCGGAGCCTTAGTGGTTTCTTATCAGAAACTCCACTTGGCCAATTTATTTCATGGTTGATAAATGCTGGATAGAAAGCTTGGTCTTCAATACCACACCACTCAAAGTCTATAAGTTTTACATGTTTCACACAATCAATATCCTCTTGAATCATGATATTACTCTTACAAAGATCACCAAACACTAGTTCTTTTTCATGCAATTTCTGCAAAGCACTGCGAATTTCCTGTAATATTTTCTCAGTTTCATACTTTGTTAATTTGTTAGTAGCATTGAGAAGTGTGCTACAATTAAGGTTATGGGCAAAACTTCTCCAGAAATCAATTGACAGAGTTTTGACAGGTTACACATTAATTGTTTATTAGAGTTTTGGCAGAGTTTCACATTTGGGGGTTTTGTCAATTGTCAGAGTTTTGACAAGGTATATACTAATTGTTCATTAGAGTTTTGACAGAATTTTGACAGTCACTAAGAGGTTTTGGCAAGCAACTTTAACTACCATTGATATACTCCATAACAAACCATATATTTCATCCTTGTTGTAGTACAATAATTGAGGTGCAAATCCACATTCAGCACACAGTTGATGTGCTTCAGCATTGTACTGCTGTGCAAATTCAACAATCAATTGACAATTATTATCATTTGTGTGCACACACTAAATATTCTTTTCTTCTATTAATTCAATGTCATATGTAAATCTACCAATTTTATTGTTTGTTTCAAAATAAGGAAAAAATTGTTGTGCATTATCTAAAGAATGATCTGTTAAATTAAGTTGCTCATAAAATTTCCTTAATGAACAAACAGGCTGTTGTAAAGCTTCAAGCATCTGTGCTAATATTTGTTATCCTTTGTTTGAATGAGGGGCACAAATTGTGTAAGAGGATCAACAACTGGTTGATCCAAGTATACTGCCCCTGAAATACAAGGCCATGGACTTGCTATTGTTATGATAAAACATGGGCAATTGCATATCTCTCGCACTTTTTTTATCTCACCCTAATAAATTTAATTAAATAAGTATTTTATTACTACAGGCTATATATTAATTTGTATGTAAAATTTACCTTTTCTTGTGCCCAATATTTAGCATAAGAGATATTTCCTTGAATATATGGGTCACTGTGTGCCGTACAAATTTCATTCTTTAATTCACAAATCATAATTGATCCAGTTTTTCCATATCTATTTTTAATCTGGCATCTTATAATACCAGGATTGGCAAATTGACTGGTCCATTGAGAACTGATGGATTTTGGACTGGTCCATTGCCATTAATAAAATACTAAATATGGTTAAAGTGTTACACTAATGGACCCAATGGACCACCAATAGACCATCAATGGACCGCACATTTGCCAACCCTGTATCATACCACCATTACTAGATCTATCATCAAGCTCTTCATTCTAGTGGACATTTAAATAGTTCATAAATGTACTTCTCCACAATCTCCTGTCGGCCATCTTCTTTTCCATATACTTCTGACATTTCCTTAACAAAATTACCAACAAATTTACGAATCTCTTCTGATACAATTATGATGGTTTTGAAAGACTTTGAAATTTTTGGTATTCAGAGTATACAGAGGCTACTGAAGGTGGGTCCATATTTTGTATTTCTGTTATATTTTTTTCTCGTGCTATGATAATAAATTATGTAAAACACGTTCAAATTCTATTCAGTTATATCACACATAATGGCAATGCTGATATATTATCACATTTATCTTTTGTGTAATTGCTATAATTAATATATAATGCAATTAAAAAAATCAATTGAATAACATAATTGAACAACTTACAGTCAAAAAGCATTTCGAATAATTATTAAAACTTTCTAAAAAAGGAGCTATCTTATTTGATTTCCTAATAAAGTCTTCTGCCCCTGATGAACCAAAAGCTGATGGATGAAGTTGTTTTTAAATGGATTATCAAGATTTCATGATCATAGTTTTTATATATGTAATTACTCTAATAAATAAACGCAAGAAAAATAATTTTTTGTATTTTTTTTTTTTACACAATTTTTCATTACCTTCCCCTCCACCGAATTCTACTACTGCTCGTTGTAAATATTTAACCTGCTCCCATTTATCGTCCTTATCTCCTCTCTCCTCTCTTCCATGTTCTTCCTCACTGCTTCACTCAATTTCTCTTCTTCCAACTTGTCTTCCAACTCGTCCAACTTATCCCCCTTATACTTTCCTTCTTCCCACTTCTCCCACTTCTCCTTTGCCTTCTCATAATCAACTTTTGCTTTATTTTAATTCTTGTTCCATTTTTTCGAATGTTGCCATTTTTTTAAAAAAATTTTTTTTATTAATTTAGAACGTAATTGTTGCTGAAGATTTTGAAATTCATAAAATTACACGATAATGATTCTCACATGACTTTTATATGAACTTTCATCTCGTTATATGTACTAATACTAATACTGAATAATAGCCCGGTCAATTTTTAGTTGAGAAAAACTAGCCAATAAGTTTTGATCATTTAACTCAAGAAGGTGATTTTTTGACGGAGTCGTATGAAAAACATAATAATAAATAATTGAGATTTGGGAATTGAGTCAATGCCAAATGAATTTTGACAACATGTATAATGAACAATAAAACTTATTGGAAAAAATTTTTGTTTTGTTAACCAATTGTTACAATGATCCTATTCATTATATTTTCCGCTTGTTAAAAAATAATTATATTAAGATCAAAAAAAAAACCTATATAATTAATTATAACCAGTTGCTAATATAAATTTAAATTTTTCACCAAGGATTTTATTTTGTGGTGCACATCTAAATAAAATTATTTTAATAATAATAATACATATATACAAAATCTTTCTAGATTTAATAACACTCCGTTTCAACGTTTTAGCCAAACAGAAAGTGCCAGCATTATTGATAAAATTGCTATTGCTTTAAGTCTCATTTTCTTACAAATATCATGTTCTGGTTCTGTTTTAACATTTGTAATTTTCCGCCTCATATTTGTTGATCTTTTTTGTATGGAAACCATTTTTTCTTCTCTTGATTCTTCAACATATGCTATACAAAAGGTTTTTGAATTGCTTTGATTTGATTTAATATTGGTTCTGTTAATGTGTTGATGGTAAAGGCATTTTCTCACGTTAACTTGTGGCTTGTACTACTAGTCCCGGACGTCCGGCAGAATCTGGCATAATTATATTCTAGTTTATAATCACATCCAAATAGGATTTAGAAGAGAATTCAAACAATAACCACTGATAAACAAAAAATCTGGAGTACCTACATCGACTACGAGTAATTTGCCATCCAATGCTGCCCAATTTAAAAAGGTTGCAACATCTTTTGTCATTTGTGATATAGTATCTGATGCTCCTATAATTTAAAGTTGACAACAATTAATTCCGTTCTGGCGATCAACGATAGAAACTCACTACACAGTGAATCTCGATTTAGCGGATAGTTTGGGCAATCGGGGAAATTTTTCCAAAAATCCGTTAAACCGAGATATCAACCGGGCGATTAAATAATCCTATATTAATAATTCAGAGCCTTGCTTGAAAGTAGAGGCAGAAAGTTAATATACACTTCCTGGACAAAAGTATTCGGATACCTATTTTTAATCAACATGCAAAAAACTCGCATAATAAAATTTTATCAAAATGTAACTTAGGATGAATATGCATCTTTTTTAGAACGTCTAGAAAAATTTTAATTAAAAAAACTCGACGAAAACGGTGATGATAATCTATTATCTATGCTAATTATAAATTATTTACACTGGCCGAAATTCCAAAAATTTACATTCATATTCAAATTTTCCTAGACGTTCTAAAAATATCAAATTCATATGCATATTCATCAAAACCTTAATCTATTATTTTGATAAAATTGTATATATATAGTTATTATGTGAGTTTTTGCATGCTTAATAAAAATAGATCTCCAAATAATTTTGTTCAAGGAGTGTCTGGGACATTTAAAGTGGCAGACAGTCCGTGCCCGTGTCCGCTGACAACACTAATTATAATCACCAAAATAGTCAGTGATAATATCATTACATGTAAACTAACTGTCAGTGAAGTGTTTGTCGACGAAATGAGCTGTCGACGAAATGTGTGTCGACGAAATGATTATCGATGAAATAAACGCGACCGATTCGAATAATTTAAATAAAACGAATAATTCAGGAATAAAGCGAATAATTCGAATAAGAGTTTGCGTTACGAATAGAAACCCTAGACTAAATAATCAATTAAAATAGTCAATTATTTTGAGTATTAATATTAGTTGATCAAAAAAAATTTAGTCAATTATACTAGTAATTAAAACAGTCGATTTCCAAACTCTAGGTTAAACTATGGCGAAATTATATTAAAGTCTTACTAGCAGTTATACCAAAAGTCAGCTGTAGGCAATTTCGGCATTTCAGAACGATTTGCCGAAACTCCCTAGCTCCGACAAGTAACTTTAGTTATACCATACTGAATCTCTCCTTACCAGAATTTGCACATATTTGGCAAAAAAGGGGTGTTGAGCGAGATTGGTTTTTAATTCTGTTAACATAATGGGGGTAAGTTAGGCTCCTTCAATAAATAAAATAAAAAGTAAAACAATTATATTGATTGCTATACATATTGGTATTATGCATGATGCAAAGACAATTAATTCATGACGCAACAAAAATTTTTCATTTTCATAAATTTTCAATATAATGTTACACGAAGTTAGATTTAAAAAAAAAAAAAAATCTATTTATCTATATCTTATTAAATATTAAATATTAAATATTAATATTAATTAATTAGTTATATCACTATCATCAATTTCGTCGGGATCAGGTTTTAATAGACTTTCCAATAAAAATTTCAAGTCAAAGCCTACTGTTCGAAGCTATAATTTTAAAAAATTCATAATAAATCAGATAAATAGGATAGATATTTAAATGTAGTATTATCCAAGAATAAATTTTACCATTAAGCAATGTTCTTTAGCATATCTTAAACATTCTTGTACTATATTATCATTATAATAATGAAGACTATAAACTTGTCGCTTAAACATACTCGCATAATGTTCAAATTCTTCGTTAACCCATTTAACAAGTCCTAATCGCGTTCCCAATAAATGAGTAATTATTAATATTGTTAACATTGTCACAATCATTGTTATAAACATTTCATACCTGATGCCATTCTCATATCTCTAAAAGCAGCATTGTACCAATCACATGTATTCTTTATCAAGGTAAAATAAACAAGTGATAGTTCGTTGATATATTGTGGTATATCTCCTTCGAACTTTAATTGCCTACAAATAATAAATTCACCATAATTTATTATTATTATTAACGTAATTTATTAAAACTTATTCCAAAATGATTTCTCGACTTACTTTGTTCTTATGCGTATATTCTTGCTCCTGGCTCCTAAAAACATTTCTCTGGCCTGTTAAATAACAATAAAATAATAATTTTTATTTCACTGCCAAACAAATTAAATTTCTTTCAACACTCACAAATTATTCAAAAATAACAGTCTTTCTACCTGTTCGCCATATCCCAATCGTAGAAGCCATCGGACACATTTTTGAACTTGTGATTTCTTTACATCTGAATTTGTTAAATCATGACTAATTGCTAGTGATAACTTTACTATTCTATCTTCCATTTTTGCTCTGATAGGATCCAATTTGATATCCTTGGCTGTAGCATTTGTCAATTTATTCTTTACTATCATCATCATCATCATTGACAAGTCAGATGATTAATAATAATTAAATTATAAATGATATCAATCTTATAAAAGCAAATAATAATATTATTATTGTTAGCATACCATTATCTATATTTTCTACGGCCTCTTCAAATTCTCTAGTAGCAATATATACATCCAACTGATCTCCCAATTCTTCTAACTCGCGAACATCATTGACTGTAAGTTCTTTAGGTACAATAGGTCCATGTGATTGCTGTGATCTAACAGGCATTGGACTTTTATTCTTTCGAGATAATGTTCTTCTAAGCGGTGTTAATTGTTGCTGTTGATTTTGCTATCATTATTATTTATGATTAATATAAATTGTTGTAATTAATATTATATGTTTATATTTATACGCATGTAGTTTCAATATATACTTACTGCATTTACTATCGAATCTGTATATTTGTATTTATATTTATAAATTTATAAATAATCACAAGTTATCGATCATAATAAATATTAACATTATAATTTCTCATAAATAAAACAATAATTAAAATAAGCGAAACCTGCATGTTTTTCTGCTTTGGTTGACAACATTTCATCTGTGGCACGTTTTGCCATATTTAAAATATTTTTTTTTTCTTCGGGTTTATCAGCTTGAAAAACGAACTGATCAGTCGGATGTCTCATTATTTTAAAAATATTAAATAGACCTTTTTCAATTAATTATTTAAAATCTTTATGATTAATATATCCATTATGATTATCATTATATAAATATTTTCAAAGCATATAATTTAATGATTATGAGTTAATAATAAGTACCATTTCCATCTCTAACATCAACCACACCAATATCTTCCAATGACCAACATCGATCTGCTACCAGTTTAACTCTGGATGATGTTTCTTTAGCTGCTTGTCTTTTCTTTTTTACAGCAATTAATAAACAATCATTAAGTAAGAACATGTGGACTGCTTGCTTAGGTTTATTTGTACTCGCATTGATTTCTACAAAATTCGAAAATTCTCGAACAATATGTCGTCCTGGTACCAATGGTACAAGTTTCTGATAATTGGTTTTTTTAATTATTTTTTTGATTTCTGAAATTATAAAAAAAATATAATATTATAATAATAATAGGAACCTGTGCTCCTTCTACATGATCCCATAAAAGTTGAATTTGTGCTTTCCAGATTGACTGTATATCTGTTGCATTATTCCTTGTCGGTTGCCTTCCTCTAGACACAATAGGTTCAGATGCCACTGGTGCAACTTTAATTATCAAGCGATTAAAATTTTCCTCTCTTAAATACAACATTTGCATATAAAAATATTGATAAATAAATACCAGGTCCAAGATTGACTGACTCTGTACTATCATCTCTCAAATTGTCGCTAATATTTCTTAGCTCATTTAAAAGTCCCCGTAAAACAAACATATCACTTTCTAGCTGTAGATTATCATTAATTAAGTCAAAGATTTCATTATTCATACATATATGCATTTAATTATTTGGTTGCTTATTAGAAAGGATATTTGATATTTCTTTAGATATTATCACAAATTCGTTATAATTTTTATAAACATTCTTCTGTAAATCTCCGGCTGCTAGTTCTCTTGATTCACGGAGAGTATCCAAAAATCCTCTAACCCCCTTTTCACTGGCATTACTCAAAGCCTTTTGAATAACTATATTTTCGTGATTTTGAGAAAGTTAACAAGTCGATAGAAATTAAATCTAAATTTTTTTAAAAAAAAAATATAAATAGATTATCGAGTTCATACAAACTTCAGGTCTGAAATCTTCAATTGAAAATTCTGCAAGTTCGATTTTTTGTTTATCTCTCGATGCATCTTCTTTCCTATATGGTCTACCACCACTATTACTGTTGTTATTAGTATACATGGATGACTGACTGACTAAACTAAATTACTTTGATAAAAACTTTAAATAATGATAAACATTACAATAAACAAAAAAGGCGAAAGAGGGTCGCACCGATTTAATGCGCCAAATCAATTTCTTTTCAATCAATCATGGATCCAAGAACAATTGGAATTTTGGGAGGAGGGCAATTAGGGAGAATGCTTGTGGAAGCTGCATCAAGACTTAACATAGATGTGGTTATTCTTGATAAACCTTTAGATGCACCTGCAAAACAACTTCAAGCAACAAAATCACATATCGAAGGTGACTTCAGAGATCCTGATAAAATTCAGCAACTTGCCAAGTCTGTAGATATACTAACCATCGAAATCGAACACGTTAACGTTGAAATTTTGGAAAAATTAGCTAAAGAAAAAAACACCGTTATCCACCCCTCACCAGCCACCATCAAACTTATCCAAGATAAATTTTCACAAAAAACACATCTTTTCAAAAACAATATTCCAGTTGTGGACTTTATTGAAATCCAAACAAAAGATCAATTAAATGTTGCAATTGACAAATTCGGGTACCCATTCATGCTCAAATCTAAAACAATGGCTTATGATGGTCGTGGTAATTATGCGATAAATTCTAGTGATGATATAGACAAAGCGCTACAATCTTTAGGAAATTTTCAAAATCCGTTGTATGCAGAGAAATGGGCATCGTTTGATAAGGAACTTGCAGCTATAGTTGTGAGGAGAGTAAATGGAAACATCAAGAGTTATCCAGTGGTTGAAACTATGCATAAAGAAAATATTTGTCATACGGTGATTGCTCCTGCTCTGGTTGGTGGATCGATTTTAGATAGAGCTGAAAGAATTGCAAGGGATACAATTCAAACTTTAGAAGGCGCTGGTGTTTTTGCTGTGGAAATGTTTTTAATGAAAGATGGTAATTATATAAAATATAATAATATATGTAATCACACACATGTATATTCATTTTCAATCTATTATTGTTTTTTTTGATTACCTAAAACGTTTATATATTTATGCTAATTTAGTTATAATATAGGGCAAATATATGTTAATGAAATTGCTCCAAGACCTCACAACTCTGGTCACTACACAATAGAAGCATGTGAAACTTCACAATATGAAAATCATTTACGTAGTATTTTGGATATGCCACTTGGCAGCACATCACTTAAAGTTCCCACTGCAGCGATGATCAATATACTAGGCAAGTCGAATGATTTCCAAGATAATTTATCAACTTGTGCTGAGGCTCTTAAAACACCTGGTGCAACTATCCATTTGTATGGGAAAAGAGATTGCAGAAAAAATCGTAAAATGGGACATGTCACAATAGTGGCAAACACGTTTTCACAATTGTTTGATAGAATCAATCCTATTCTAAGCACAATTGATTCTTCTTCACCTCTACCTTCTTCTATTCCACTTGTTGGTATTATAATGGGGTCTGATTCTGATTTACCAACAATGAAACCTTGTGCAGAAATTTTAAGATCATTTGATGTTCCGTTTGAACTTTCAATCGTTTCTGCTCATAGAACTCCTAATCGTATGGTTGAGTATGCTACAAGTGCTCATAAAAAAGGCCTGAAAATTATAATTGCTGGTGCTGGTGGCGCTGCTCATTTGCCTGGTATGGTGGCTGCATTAACTCCTTTACCTGTTATCGGCGTACCAGTAAAAGGAAAGATTTTGGATGGCGTTGATTCTTTATATAGCATTGTTCAAATGCCTGTAAGTTGATTTTTTGTAAAACTTAAAAAAAAGTTAATTGATTGATATAATATATATTTCTGTATAATAAAATTAGCGAGGAGTTCCAGTTGCTACGGTTGCGATTAATAATTCAACAAATGCAGCATTATTAGCAATACGTCAATTAGGTTCATTCATTCCAGAATATTTAGAAAAGATGCAAGCGTTTATGGCAAAACAAGAAAAAGAAGTTCTTACAAAAGTCGAAAGATTAGATAAAGTTGGATGGGAAAATTATTAACTATTTTTTTTTGCAATCAAGATACAAAAATTTAATAGATTTGTTAAGATTAAATTTATTATGAATGTTTATAATAAATGATATTATTTTGTTATGCAATTAATTGCCTTTGTACGGATGAATAGACGATTGGATGGTCGAGAAGTGGGCCAAAACTACTCTTATTATGTTGAGAATATTGTTATTAATAATAATAATAATTACAATTTTTCAGAACTAAGAATCTCATCCAATTCACCACTTTCTTTCAACTCTTTAATAATGTCCAATCCACCAATTAGATTTCCTTTATGAAAAACCATAGGATAAGTTGGCCAATTTACAAATGTTTTTAATCCTATATATATTATTAACAACAATACAAAAAAAAAAGCAAAAACATGTCAATAAAAATGAAAATAATTAGCTACTCATGTAATTACTTATTTTTTTTACCTTGTCTAACTTCTTCATCTTGCAGTATATCAAAATCTTCGTATTTAACTTTTTTTTCATCAAGAATTCCAATCAATTGTCTAAAAGAAGCAAGTTTAATTTTTTTTTTGGAATATATACATATATAATAAATCAATTGATTTTTATGCAAAATATTATTTACTTGGAAAATCCACATTTTGGATTATTTTGAGATCCCTTTATGAATACCATTATATCAGCTTTATTAATTAATTCTTGAAGCTTTTCATCTAAACTTTTTTCTTTTGGAACCATTGACTTGAATTCACCCGATTCAACCAACTCTTTTACAATATCTAATCCACCGACAAGTTCTCCGTTTATATATAACTATTAAAATTATACAATTAAATATAAGTCAAAATTTTTAAAAGGATAAAATTATGATGATAATAATAATAAATACCTGAGGATAGGTTGGCCAATTAGAATATTCTTTTATGCCTATTTTTATGTATGGTAAATTAAAGGTGTTTTTTATAAAATATAATACTTAACGTATACATATAATGTATAAATACTTTATTTAATATAATATACCCTGCCTAATTTCTTCGTCAGCAAGAATATTGAATGTACCATATTTAACTTGGTGCTCATTCAAAATCCCTATAATTTGTTTTGAAAATCCACAACGTGGTTGGCTTGGTGTTCCCTATAATTTAAGATGTCAGGATAAGTATTGTAATTGATAAACCCAATGTTATACAACAAATTTAAATAGCATGCATGCATACTTTGATGAAAACCATGACAGACGAGGAATTAATTAATTCTTTGATACGCGTATTCAAATCTAATTTTGGTTTAGGTGCATTTGATGATGATGGTGACGAGTCTGATGATGGAATAGATTTTACAAGTGATGCAGCTTTAATATTTTTGTTTATTAGATTGGTTAACTCTGGCGCATTTACACCAACAATACAGTCCACAATTTTTCCATTCTAAAATTATAAATAAAATTTAGTTTAAAAACTTAAAAAAATATATATTTTAATTTTTAATAAAACCTTTATGACAATGAATGTTGGAACAGCTGTTATCTCATATGATTCTGAAATTTCAGGAAATTTTTCTGCCTCAATCTTTTAATTTTCATATTGAAAAAAAACAATATAAATTAGACGAAGTTAACGGAAGAAAAAGAATAATCATTGGTACTATTATCTCCATTAATGAACCTTAATAAATTTATATGCGGTATTTTTTTTGGCAAGCTCAGCAAATACATCATTCATTTGAGCACAGGGTTGTGCCCATGGTGCCCAGAAATCAAGAAATATTGGAGTATTTTTATTTTGTTCAATTAATTGTTTGAATTCTTCGTCTTTAGATAGTTCTAAAAGATTGTTGCTGGCCATGTTTAATAAAAGATTGATGGATTATGGGTACAATATCCGATATCAAATTTATTTGGCTTGAATGGGTTACACTATAATCACGTGATATTTGTTACACGAGATTTTGATCAGCTAGGTGATTATTATATGAGGCAGGCATACTGTAACAAAACCAGACAAAGTGAACATTGGTATTACCAAGAATTTCAGGGATCAAAATTTATTCATTTGTAATGTGATCATAATTAACAGGTTTATAATATATAAAAAAATCATCAATATGAAGCTCATTTACAATTACTTTGTTGCAAAACAGACTTTGCTCACAATCTGTTGATCAAGTATTTTTTTGAAACGAAATAAAAAATTTGTATAAAATTGAAAATAAAATTTTAATTATTTCACATTTAACATGCTTATTGTACTATAAAGAGGGCTACAGATTCGCCAAAGCTTTCTAAGTACAAGAAAGAGGCAGTAAGCAGGATAATTGTTAAATAAATTCAAAATAAATTAATTGACAAGCATTGAAGATAAAAGATGCAATTAATTGACAAGTGTAGCTAAAAAGTTAACCCAAACTCAGTCATAAACATAAAACAACTACACACAATATAAAAAATCAATTGTTTCAATTTGCCAATTGATTATAATTGATTTTTTCAATTTTGATTAGCAATTGTGAAAAATCAATCAATCAACATCACTCTTCACCTTCTACTTTTAAAGGTCAATTATCATCCTTTCCTCCAATTTTACCTTCTACTATAACAAACATAATAATTTTATTTAATAATAGTGTGCACTCACAAATAATGGTTTCACATTGTACATATATCACAAGACAAGTGAGTTTCATAGGAATGATTGTATGATC